TCCAGCGACAGAGCGATTACGCTAACTGCTGGTCCCTCTTTTTTTTTTTTAACAATTATTTATTATTACTTTTTAATTTGAGCAGAGAGAGGCAGAGAGAGAGAAAGGGAACATGAGAAAGTAAGCCACAGGTCCCAGACTCAAACCGCGGTAGGCCATGTGGGAGTCCAGGGCCTTAACCACCAGGCCACCTGCTGACCCCATACAGGAGTCAGTTCTGAAGAGGATTTGATGGTCCTGAACATCCATGTGCCTAGTAACAGAGCCTGAAAACATATGATGGAAACTCCACAGAGCTGCGAGGGGAGGTCGACAACCCTGCAGGGACAGATTCGGTACCCATCTCCGTCTTCCAATAAGTAATTCTTTAAAAAAAAAAAGACCACCTGGGGCTGGCGGGTGGTCGAGGTGCCCGGCTCCCACGTGGCCAGCTGTATGCAACTCCTGAGTCCCAGACTTGTGGCGCGCTTTCTCACTTGCACTCTCCCTCTCTGGTCAAATTTTAAAAATAATAATAAAAATAAAATAATTCTTTAAAACAACAAGCTGTCACTTACTTTCTCAGTGCACTTCTCCCCAGACGATGTTCCTCTGATTCTCGGTAGCAAGTCTGTTTGCCAATTTCGCGTTCCCAGAAGCGCTTGAGCTCATGGCAGGTGTTCCGGCAGAAGACCTCCCGGCGGACATACTGATTGTTCATCTCCTGAAAGAGAAAATAGCAGCTGGACCTTCGTAAAACACAAGCCCAGCTTAGGTGGGAGGGTGTGTTTGGAGCCAGACCCTGCTATTTACATGAAGGAGGGCCTGGCCAGCCCCAGAACCCCTGTGGGCGTGGGCGAGATGAGGAGAGTACCCCAAAACCCTGCCTGCCAGTTCGTCATCAGTACACGGTGAGAGGTGAATGCAGAAGCCCCGTGGACCATGGCCTGTGCAGACAGTGAACAGGTGCCCGGCCAGTGCCTCTGTCCTTCCCCCTCACGGAAGGTGGTTTTTCAGCTCTTCGTCAGCAGGTCACGTGGGCCATGCATTTTGCACACCCTAGTCCCTTCAATCACAACATCCCCCATGAGCTGGGCATGCCCTTCCTCATTTTATAGTTGAGGTGGGCACTGCCCTCTTTATTTTAGGGGTGGGACATCTGAGGAGTTACGGAGCTCCCCTGTTGCCCCACGTGGTACGTGGTGAGGGCTTCTGAAAGTTTCAAGCTCTTTACAAAAGGGGCTTGTCACCAAAAATGGTTCCATGTCTGACATGCGCAGATCAAGCTGCTCTGAGGTGCATGTGTGTGTGCACGTGTGTGTGCACGTGTGTGTGCACGTGTGTGTGCGTGGGGCACAAGCGGCTCCTGTATGTGGAGTTACACATGTCAGACGATCACGGTGCTCATTTTTTAAACATGAATGCCTGACTCCCAGCTTTCTGTGGGTCCAGCGAGAAGGTCAGAGCAGGAACCACAGGTGGATGGTTGGCTGGGGGAGCCTCTGCAGAGAGCCTGGGGAGATGTGGACCTGGAGAAGAGAGCCGAGCTCAGACCAGACCCAGAGTGGGTTTTGATCTTGTCCCAAGGACAGCTGGAGGAGGAGCTTTCGGTGGGCGAGAGGCGGGTGCCCTCACTGTACAAGACGCTCTGGGGAACAGACGAGAGGGCAAGTGCAGGGAGGCAAGGCGCTGGGTGGGAGGAGCCCAGGGAGAGGCCAGGATGGTGAGTGATGGATTCCCACAGGTGGTCTGGAGTAGAGCTCCCTGTGGGCACGGAGGGGGAGGGTGGTTAGGAGGTGTCACCGGCTGAGCCCGGACACAGGCGGGAAGGCCAGAGAAGAGGGCGGGGGCAGTCTCGAGCAGCGCAGGTGGGGTTTGAATTGCCTGGTGCCCAGGTCGCTGAGGAGCCCTGATGGGGCGTGGGACAAAGGGCACCGGAATGGAACTCAGGCATGGCTTCCCAGCAAGGGCGACCAGGACAAGGTGACAGGGTGGGAGGATGGCAGAGTTTGACGCCTGACGTTTACTTAGATCTATGTTTCCATTAACTTAACGCACCTTCTACTTGTCACATAAATTCTCCTGGCCTCTTTCTTCATCTCTAAAATTTCCCAGGGCTGACAAGTGGCTTGGTGGTTAAGGCGCTGGACTGCCTCATAATCAACCACAGTTCGAGTCCTGGACCTGGTGGCTTGCTTTCTCACTTTCCCCTTTTCTGCTTGCTTTCTCACTTTCCCTTTTTCTCTGGTCAAGTTTTAAAAATCATAATAATAAATAAAATTAAATGAATAATTCTTTTTAAAAAATTTTATATTATTTTTATTTTTTAAAATTCGCTATAGGGCACATGTGCTCACCAGAGAGAAAGAGAGAAACAAAGAGGGAGAGAAAGTGAGAAAGCAAGACAACCAGGTCCAGGATTTGAACCAAAGTTGGCCATGTGGGAGTCCAGTGCCTTAACCTCCATGTCACCTGCCTGCCCCAAAATGAATAATTCTTTAAAAGTTGATCACAGATGTGAAAGCGCTCCCCTTTTATAAAGTGCTGAGTAAGTACACTGATGCTCGGCGCTGGCTCTGATGTCCGGCTGTGTCTGATGTCCAGCTGTGTCTGGCACGGGGACGTCACCAGCCAGAGCACATAGAGAGCGGCTCTTCTCCTTGGGCTGGAGCTCATCCACGTTCCCTGGTCTGATCTCCGGGGCCTGCCAGTACCTGCTCCAGGCTTCGCCCTCCCCATCACAGCACGCACGTCTGTGAGCGTCTGTGGTGCAGTTTCCCGGCTTCTGAGTGGGCACCTGCTCCACCTTGCAGCGTGATGGGGGAACTGTGCACGTTGGAAAGCCCCTGCGACACAGATCTGCAGACGGCCCGAATCCTCTATCTAGATCTACTTAGCCCAAAACCCCAACTCCCACATTGGCCCCCTGTGCCTCTCTCAAAAGAATTATTACTGCTACTTCTGATCTGTCACCGGCAACTTGCAGAAGTCGTACCCTCGGTGACCATTGTGAATTCTCCCGCGCAAATTAATTAGTAAACGCTTAAAGAGAATGACAGCATGGAGTGATGTGAGGACATCCGTTCAACTGACCACAGTCGGTTCCACTCTGACCATCTGGGAGGCGTCTCTGCTGTGCAGAAAGCCACGAATGCTCAGTGAAGCCACAGAAACAAAGGGGCGTTTGTCCCTCTGGAGCCAGTCCTGTGGGAGCGATCTGAGTCTCAGGTTACTCAGAGTGTGAGACCCAGTGAGGGCGTCTTAGGCTAGTGGGCTCAGACACCCGCTGACGCTGCATTCTACCAGGGTAGTCCTTGCATGGAGAACACCTCTAATTTTTAAAAAATTAATTTTGCTATAGGGCGTGTGTGCTTGTTAGAGAGAGAGAAAGAGGAAAAGGGAGAAATCACCCCCCAGGGGAGATGGCCACTCCACAAATCCTTCTCTTCTACTCTCCTCTTGGGATTTTAGGCATGCACACACACATACCCAGTGTGTTTTTCAACCTGCTAAGTCTGGAACTCAGACCAGTCAGGATGCATGTGGAACCCAGCTACCTTGGCCACCATGCCACCTGCTGGCTCTTAATACCTCTTAAGAGCAACTATTTTGTGATATTTTTCACATTTCAAATTTTTATTCAGGGGGCTGGGAGGTGGTGTGGTGGTTAAGGACGTTGGACTCCCACATGACCAACTGTGGTTCAAGTCCTGGACCTGGTGGCTTGCTTTCTCACTTTGCTTTTCTCTCTCTTTCTCTCGCTCTGTCCCTCTGTGATCAAATTAAATAAATAAATAAAGTTAAATAAAATAACTCTCAATTTTTTTTTCCTTTGAAGGGTCTGGCAGGTGGTGTGGTGGTTAAGGTTCTGGACTCCCACATGGTTGACTATGGTTTGAGTCCCAGACCTGGTGGCTTGCTTTCTTTACTTTCCATCTCTCTGTCTCTCTTTGGTCAAATTAAAATAATAATAGTAAATAAATAAAATTAAATAATCAAAACAATTTTAGAGGTTTTTGCCTTTGGGTGCATGTGCTCTCTGGAGAGAGAGAATGAGACAGACAGTGAGAATAAAAATGAGAAATCATCCCCTAGGGGGATGGCCATACCACAATCCCTTCTCCTTCATTCTCCTGCTGGGATCCTCAGCATGCACGTATATGTGCCTCGTGTGTTTCAAGCTACCGGGTTCAGGACTCGAACCGCAGTCACCATGTGGGAGCCCAGTGACGTAATTGCTATGCCATCTGCTGCATCCCGCCTCCATTTTTTTTTTTTCTTCATGATCCTTGGCTTGCAATAGTATAGAAAGGCTCCAGTTTTAGGTAGGGTCGAGGTAGCACCTTCTACCCTGTCCCTCACAAGGATGCAGTTCTGGACAGAGTGCACAGTGCAGCTGTCCGAGATCACTGGGCAGCAGATAGGAGCAGGTGGGCTGGGGAGGGAGCCAGAGTCCGACTGCAGTGACTGGTGCTGAATTCCGTTGTTGTTCTGCTGTCTCGTTTGGACTCAAGGCCTCCTGCCACTCGGAAGCAGGGATGTGGGCAGAGAGCACACCAAGAGGTCCTCCAGTTCTAGGGACAAAGGAGACTCCTGATGCTCAGCGAATGGGGGAAATCATTTGGCTTTCCAGAAACTTCCAAAGTGAGAGAGGCACGGTGACAGCAACAGAGCTGAACAGCCGCCAGGCCTGCAGAGGCACAAACTCCAAATCTGCTCAGAGAGAGGGACTGAGGGCTTCACAGGGTGATGCTAACTCATGCTGTTTTTTCTCTCCTGGTCCTGGCTCTTGGCCTGGATGTGAGTGCAGCCTCCGGGAGCGCATGGCAGGGCAGGGTAACTGACGTCCCGATGTCTGGCCAAAGGACTGAAAAAAAGGAGGTCCAGGGAATTGGAAGGTACGGGAAATCACAGAGCTTGGCAGATTTCGGGAGAGAGAGGCCTTGAAGCGTGTTCATGGATTCTGAGTGGGAGCTGTGCATTTGTGGGTCTGATCCCAAACGGCACAGCAGAGACTCAGGGCTGGATTAAGGGGTGGGCTACCAGCAGGTTCCTGAACGGGCCCTGGGAGGCACGCACACATTGGAATGGCACTGCCGGCCCTTCCTCAATGCAAGACTGTGAGACTACAACCCACAGAAGGCTGGTAGAACCCGAGCCCGGGCCCCACCGCCTGGATTGCCTACTAAAGCAAAATATCAGCCCCATCCACAGGGTAGAAACCAGAGCCAGAGGAGGGTAATCTGATAGGAAAAGCGTGCAGGCTAGAACTCACAGTTAGTCTATGAGGGACTAGGAGAATCTCAACCCCATGAGAGGAGAAAATGTACAGATGCCAATGAGAGCAGTCACACAGATGTTGAGGTTATCCAATGGGCTTACAAAAGCTATTACAAAAAACGTTCCGAGAATGAAAGGCAAACACTCTTGAAATGAAATGGAAAGAGATCAAGTCTCAGCAAAGAAACAGCAATAAAAGAAGGAACCAAAACCAAATGGGGATTTTTTTAGAACTGAAAGATATACTAAGTTAAAAAAATTAATCATGTGAGATAAGATCATAGCAAAATCGGGAGATGACAGAAAAAAACCAATGATCAATAGGAATAATCCAGTCTGAACAACAGAGGCAAAAAGCTAGACAGAGCCCCGCGGCCCTGGGGCACATGCTGAAAGGCCTGAGATTCACGCCATCAGGGTCTTAGAAGAGGGGAAAAGGATGACGTGGAATTATAGATCCAGAAATGATAGCTAAAGCCGCTCAAATTTGGCAAAAGAAATGAAAGATTCAAGTAGTTAAGCAAACCCCAAATAGGATAAATCTAAAGAAATGTACACCTAGACTTATAATGAAACTGCTGAAAGCTGAGAAAAAGAAAAAAAACAAACCGAAAGAAGCCAGATTGTCAGAACACGTGAACAAAAGCTGACGGATCTGGAAGGAGAAATA